TAGGATTGTCTTAACAAGATCAGAGCAGACAGCGCGCGATTATCAACGCTCTGAAAGAGTAGTACGGCGCTAGCATCGGGGTCTCGGGTGAATAGAAAAAAATTCCTTTCCCTGCTACAAAATGAAGAGGAATCCATCGAGTCTTGGTAAACAAGGATTCGCAATCAAGCTGCACAGTGCGAGTACGAAAACTTCGCTGATGAATTGATGAGAGATCAGTTCATCGCGGGATTAACATCTGAATCTCTCCGCGTAAAGCTGATTGGGAAAGGCCACAGTCATCGAGATGCAGCGCAATCAAAATTCACGTTACAAGAAGTGGTTGGAATAGCCAAAAGCCACGAGGCAACCACATTTGCAAACCAGTTAATGAAAAATGCCCGTAGAGCCAAACAATCTTCAGAGGAGAGATTGGAAAATTTGGTAATACGATTGAAATGAAGTTTCTTGATATCGTGGCGACATTTTTTGGTAAAAAAGGTCTAATGACGCGAACTGGCCCTCCGGAGGAATACATTTAGACTTTCGAGTTTAAAGTGTTTCGAGGTGTTAGGATCATCCTCTTTGTCGTGAAAAAAGGCTTTTAATTGAACGCGGCGAAGGAATTTTTCTACGTCTTGTTTAATTGAGAATTCGTCCATTGGTTTAGAAATGGGAACGAAATTTAAGCCCTTGCTAAGGACGGATTTTTCAAAATCGGAAAGTGAGAGGTTTTCTGGAATGGTAACTACAGCTTTGAGGATTTCTGGTGATGAGTGGTTAGCGATTTGGGGACCGATCAGTTGGTCAAGTTTTTGGGCCTTAATTTGGTTCAAATGATTGAAAAGTCTCGAATTGGTTTCCTGAATTTTGGCGCGCATAGATTGTAATAAAACTGCTGGACAGATTTTGGAAAGTTCAAAGCGGCAATGTAGGTTTTGTTCGGTGATTACGGTTTTTGCACATAGCTCTAATGGTAATTCTCATGATGTTACGTGAAAAAAGAATTTTGGGCGCACTTAATTTGGTAATGGTATTGTTTGGTGAATGAAGATGCATGGAAATTGGAGTGAAAACCTTTGCCATACAGCCGAGTTACAAAGTAGATAAGATAGTGATGATTGCCCTTGATTCTGGTGACCCTGATCTCATCTTTGACCTACGCCAGTTGAACAAAGGTAGATCAGAGAAGTACAACGACTTTTGGAGCAAACTTGGTGATTATCTTGAAGAGAATGTTGCAGCCCAAGAGAGGCGTTATGGTAAGATTGGGTACATGCCAGTCGCTTGTAGTTTTCCCGACCTGATTGGAGAGATGAAAGGAAGACTTCCAAATGGCACTCCAATTCCCTCAGAAACGTGGGTCCGATATCAATTCTGGCCTAAGGATCCCGGTTTCAAGACAGCTAAAAAGTATACGGGCCGCTTCAACGTGCGATTCCAAGTGCGGACACGACAACTTCGGCACGATCATCCCCATAGCCACTACTATGCTGCCCAGCTGAAAGACCTATATGAATTTGTCGTGAAGTTTAGGTCTAACGTGTGTTTGGTGATGGAGGACGATAAACACTTTATTAACTTTGGTGAGCCAGGACTACCACTTGCGACTCCTGGGAGAGGGAGACTTTTGTTGGTAACAGGCCCTGCTGAATCTCATCCAACAGCCCTCGATAACGATTTTCGCCGATTACATGTCACTCCAAGTGTAACCCCTGTACCAGCCATTACTGAAGTTCCCACGGAATCATTTTACCAGGACCAAGTGTACGTTGCAGTAAAAAGGTACCATTTTTTAGTCCTCTTCGGCTTTACGACATGCAGCCGAATGTTCCCCAGTTGTCGAAGAATCTGAGCGCCTATTCTAGCCAGTGTTGCAGATGGTGGACCTGACTACAATTTACGACGTGGACAAACTCAAGTTGCGCTCATTTCGTCATTTCAGCGTCATAATCTTGACATGCTGGTAGCCATCAACACCTGTCCTGGAAATTACTGCGCAAATCCGCTAGAGAGGATCATGTAAATACTCAATATAGCCCTGTACGAAGTCTCATTGGCCAGGGGTGAAATGGACTCGCGCAATGAGAAGCTTTTGCTTCGTTATTCTAATATGAAGGAAATCCGCGAGAAGGCAAACAGAGATGGGGAATTGAAGGCGGCCATACAATCGAGCTTAAAGACCGTCACTGCCCTCATTCAAGGCCGCTGTGAAAATTTCTCTCAAAGAATAGAAGTTCAAGATCCTTGAAGCTGCTTCTGACGAGGATCCGAGATGCCAGTTCGCGTTTGCCCACGACATCGATCCCACTCTACAATTGGGGATTAGCCATAAATCTGAATTGCTTAAAAAGGATGACCTACAAGCTTGGTTTGATACGCGTTGCAGAGAAATTAAGGCAGTATTCGTTTCAAACCAAGAGGTGGACACAAGCCCCTCCATCTGAGGTCCATAAAGAGCAAGCTTTGGAAGAAATTCAGTGAAAAGTGGAATGCATTCCTACTCACATTTAGCAGCTCGTAAATTCAGCAATATAGCAGGTCAAAGGCGTGGGGGGACTTGACATGCTTATGCAGGCAGCCAAAGCAGGCTCGTATGGTGTCGATTTGGTTCGTGCCGCACTGGATTTGCCAAGTTGCGTTACGTGTAAATCTCCTTGAGCGTCGCTAGCCACGTTCAAGAAGATGATGTGGCTTCCAGATCCACAATACAAAGATGCTTCAAAGGAACATTACAAAACCTTTGAAGATTTTTTTGGCCAAAACACCAGCGAGATTGACCGCCCATCTGCACAGTCAAATGTCGAGGACAAGTCAAAGCACCTTATGAAGAAGGAGCGTGTTCGTGATGCAATCGAATGTGTCAACTGAAAGAAATGGAGGTCCATATTTGTTGCCACCAAACCCACAGCAGCACAGATGGAGCAGCTCAGTGAGATAACCGACACGCTGCAATACAGCTGTGGTGCTCCATTAACTCCGGAAGCTCACGAGTTAAGCGGCGTATTTGTTGTAAGGCAGGATGTTTCATGCGCTGACACAGTCGATAAGCTCTATTAGGTCATGCCGAAAATTTGAAGAAATTTGTTGTTGGTGTGGCGCTTTGGAGCCAGAGGCAAGAATCAACGACGAGACAAGAGCTACCTACAACGTTGTGAATCCTGTGTGCCAGGAATGCGCCGCTGCTGGCAAGAGACCAGTGGCAAGCTGCAAGAAGAGCCGAATGGCAGGCAGCGGGAACGAACACAGTATAAACTGTGCTAAGGTCAATCCCCAGTATTGCATTGCGCATCCCTACTGCGCATATTTTCACGTTTGATTAGCGCGCGCGCATTAAAAATGGCGGCGTTTTCCTTGCGGCTGGACCTCACCGTACAGGTAAATCGTCACTTTCTCGAAAACGAGCACGGTGACCTTTCAATTTTTTTTTTTTTTTCTGTTGCGTTGAATCGAATAATAAATTTCTTTTTGTAAAATGAATATGGGCGAATTCTCAGAGTTGAGCAAGGAACAATCGTCGGAAACGTGAATTTAGCAAGCAATCGTGACTATAACCATGGTGCTATTGTAAGGCTTTATATGGTATAAACAAGGTGCTGTTGCTTCCAAACGAACGAGGGAATCTCCCATTTTTCTTTCCAAGTTCTTCAAATATAGATATTCAATAGGCAAAGTTTGACAAAAATCTCAGTGCAGGTTCTATTTAAGTGGAATGACCTCAAGTGTTTTCCAATCCCACGGACAGAAAGTCTCTCTGGTCGGAGAGTAAGTGTTCTCTGTAGTTAAAGTAGAAACTAAAAATATGTATGGTAACCAATTGCCTATGCTTGAGATTAAAGTGACATTTGTTTGGAATAATGTTTCATTGCCCTCTACATAACTTTTTGTTTCGAAAACACGAAAGTCTGGGTCGGTCGGACGACGCTAAACAGAACAAAAAGAGGATGGCCTTACGAGGAATACTCGTGTCAAATCAGTTCTTGAACAGCTGAGTAGGATGACACTAAATCAGTACAACGAGACTCAACCTACTATCTATCACTCACAGCACTTTCTTTCCCATCTTTTCCGGCTGCAATGCTCAGAGATATGGCAACAATGAGCGCAGGAAATCCTACAAAATTGAAATTCGAAACTTGTTCTTAACTGCCCAAAGTATAATTTTGTTTTACACCGGATAACTACCTTTTGCACCGCTATTCAGAGCTATTCAGGAATATAACTTGCAATATAATTGATATCGGATGTTCCTGGTCCCATGCTCTTGAACTCGGAGAAGAATTCTTCCCGTGAATCATTAAGGAACAGTGACACACAAGAGTAGGGGTGAACTAGGACCGGAGAAAAGTTGTTCGGAGAAGTTGTTTCGCAAAACTAGTTGAACTTAGGAGTTATGGGTAACTGAGTGGACGGCAGTTAAAACTGTTTATCCATGAAATATTCTAATGGTCAAAGAGTACCTTACCCCAAGACATTCCATGGCAAATGTTTAACTTGTTACCAACGTTGTAAACTTTCACAAAAAAACAAGTAGAGGTAAACTCCCTCGATTAGCATCCAGCAGAAGGCGGCCATCAAGAAATACTGCACAAGGGCCGCAACTGCAACGCATCCTCCCTGGGAAAATGGACAGCGAAAGAGGACACGCAATGATTGATTTGCATGAGTCTCACCCTGGCTCTTTTTTAAACCAATTTTTGACC